ATCTTCTGTATGTTTTTATCTAGAGTATTATGAGTAAGAAAGGTTTTTATGCATTTTAGACGTTAACTTGTAAGCGAAAAGGACGAAAGCATGGAGTACCGGTGATGAGTTATGTATGAGGTTGAAACGGCTCTGTGCCATACACAGGTGATTACCTCTTTTATGNATTTCCATGTATGTCGCCATTTTAACCAATTAAATGTATACAGTTTTTATCCTCGTCGCCAATTGTAGCATCTAACGTGCTTCATATGTTTGGATGACTTGCCCATCCCCGGATTGAACCTGATTCGTTCTTGTACATATTAGATCCAGTCAACACATGTGTTCCATTACACTCAACATATTTTATTAACTTCACATTGGAGAGTTCCACATATAACAGATGGCGAGTATGGACGAGTTATGTCCCTTTACCTGACTGAATATATACAATAGACAGATACCACACTGACATGTCTTGTATCAGTAGTCCTAGTTTGTCAGTAGTCCCGATTTGTCTTGTGTCAGTAGTCCTAGTTTTTCTGTAGTCCTGATTTGTCAGAAATCCTGATGTGACAGTAGCAGACTCAAATAACATTATATAGGGAATCATGTCTTTTAGGGATGTGTTGGGTTTAGTCCGGCAAACTTATCTATGCGTGTTCGAGTTTTTATTTCAATCTTTGTTATGTTCCTCTGTTACTCTATATTGATATTAGGCATATCATGTCAAAACATAATATACATGTGAAATACAATGTAATCTATGGGAAATTGCACTTAAATCACTCTCATTTTAGAACAATTGGTGGCGTGTACTGGCATTCTGTCGGGGTTCACGCTGTTTGCCGGGATTAAGGTGGTATTTGTGTTGGTGTCTCGGTGTTTGTTATGACACCTGGTGTCTCGGCGATTGTTATGACACCTGGTGTCTCGGTGTTTGTTATGTCTCCTGGTGTCTCGGTGTTTGTTATGACGCCTGGTGTCTCGGTGTTTGTTATGACGCCTGGTGTCTCGGTGTTTGTTATGACCCCTGGTGTCTCGGTGTTTGTTGTGACACCTGGTGTCTTGTGTTGGTGTCTGGGTGGTTGTTATGACTCCTGGTGTCTCGGTGTTTGTTATGAGACCTGGTGGTGTCTCGGTGTTTGTTATGACACCTCGTGTCTCGGTGTTTGTTATGACACCTTGTGTCTCGGTGTTTGTTATGACACCTCGTGTCTCGGTGTTTGTTATGACACCTCGTGTCTCGGTGTTTGTTATGACACCTCGTGTCTCGGTGTTTGTTATGACACCTTGTGTCTCGGTGTTTGTTATGACACCTTGTGTCTCGGTGTTTGTTATGACACCTGGGGTCTTGTGTTGGTGTCTCGGTGGTTGTTATGACTCCTGGTGTCTCGGTGTTTGTTATGCCACCTGGTGTCTCGGTGTTTGTTATAACTCCTGGTGTCTCGGTGTTTGTTATGCCACCTGGTGTCTCGGTGTTTGTTATGGCACCTGGTGTCTTGTGTTGGTGTCTGGGTGGTTGTTATGACTCCTGGTGTCTCGGTGTTTGTTATGTCTCCTGGTGTCTCGGTGTTTGTTATGACTCCTGGTGTCTCGGTGTTTGTTATGTCACCTGGTGTCTCGGTGTTTGGTATGACACCTGGTGTCTTGTGTTGGTGTCTCGGTGTTTGTTATGACATCTGGTGTCTCGGTGTTTGTTATGACCCCTGGTGTCTCGGTGTTTGTTGTGACACCTGGTGTCTTGTGTTGGTGTCTCGGTGGTTGTTATGACTCCTGGTGTCTCGGTGTTTGTTATGTCTCCTGGTGTCTCGGTGTTTGTTATGCCACCTGGTGTCTCGGTGTTTGTTATTACACCTGGTGTCTCGGTTTTTGTTATGACACCTGGTGTCTTGGTGGTTGTTATGACACCTGGTGTCTTGGTGGTTGTTATGACACCTGGTGTCTTGGTGGTTGTTATGACACCTGGTGTCTTGGTGGTTGTTATGACACCTGGTGTCTCGGGGTTTGTTATGACACCTGGTGTCTCGTTGTTTGTTATGACACCTGGTGTCTCTGTGTTTGTTATGACACCTGGTGTCTCTGTGTTTGTTATGACACCTGGTGTCTTGTTGTTGTGTCTCGGTGGTTGTTATGACACCTTGTGTCTCGGTGTTTGTTATGACACCTCGTGTCTCGGTGTTTGTTATGACACCTTGTGTCTCGGTGTTTGTTATGACACCTTGTGTCTCGGTGTTTGTTATGACACCTTGTGTCTCGGTGTTTGTTATGACACCTGGGGTCTTGTGTTGGTGTCTCGGTGGTTGTTATGACACCTTGTGTCTCGGTGTTTGTTATGACACCTTGTGTCTCGGTGTTTGTTATGACACCTGGGGTCTTGTGTTGGTGTCTCGGTGGTTGTTATGACACCTGGTGTCTCGGTGTTTGTTATGACACCTGGTGTCTTGTCATTGGTTGTTATTGTGTCTCCTGAGTTCTTTTATAGATTTTTTGAGTCGACCTCCGAGTTCAGATTTTGTCTTTATTCATTGCTGCTGTGCCGATCGAAATCAATGTTGTCACTTTCCACGACTATGAACTTGCAAGACTCACCATCTGATCCATAATGTTATATTAATATGTTTCATTATATAAATAAGTGAAATTTAATATGAAATCAATCTGAGGAGTCCGCGTTTAAAACATCAACATTAATAAAAAAAAAAGTGTCCTTTGTACATTTATTTAGTGAACCAAACAGTGACTTTGACATAGTTTTATAACTTTTTTTTGGAGTTTCCAGTTTCGAAATGAAAATTTTCATTTTCAGTTTTGTTAGTTTGACTCACTTTTATTTTTTCCTTCTCTTTCACAAGATCGCTACTTACCCTTGTAAGTTATACTTTGAAGTCTATAACCTTCCTGGTATAACCTTATCTGCCACGGGTTTTTAAAGTTTAAAACGATATTTTGAATTACAAAATCACGAAGCGTAACAAAAATATTCGTTTCTGAACTATCAATGTTATGTTTATGTGTGTATGTTCCACGTTAACAGATACGTCGCCATTTGATAAACCCACTTGTGTGCAATATACAAAGAAATAACTGCTATAGAACTCTGCCTAAAAATCAAATTCACATGATTTTACTGCCATAACGCTCCATGTTCCTTTTCCGTGCTAACGCTTCGTGTATTATATCGATAGTGTCCTCATATAATGTGTTCGACAGCCTATAACGTGTACAGTATTTTTTGTATAGAAGTAGTCGGGTTCTTTTTCTGATTTCAGCATGGACTCTGATTTATCTACCTGTTAGCCTCCTCAGTTTGTAATCATAAAACTGCATGCCAGCTATGAAATACAGTGTTGTCCTTAAACACTGAGGCTCCAGTATTGACCATTTGTGATCATTTTATCCCAGTGCATTAATGATGTGATATTAATCAGATACATAATGATATTGACTTCGGTTATTAATGTTTGGGTACCTGTTATAAGGAAATGGTTATATGCGTATTCATGCTGTGGTTTTGACTATGAGTAATTATTTCGTCATTGTATTTTGATGTTATGGTACCGATTAGCCATGCTTTTCATTGTGTATTGATGTTGTGGTACCGATAAGCCATGCTTTTCATTGTGTATTTATGTTGTGGTACCGACCAGTCGTTGTGTTACCGGCTGTTAGACGAATGTAACACACAAACACGTGATACAATTCAGTAATTAATACAGTGAGCCAATAGTGTATTACAATGAGGAATGAGTGACATTGTGCTATGGTTTCGCCATTATGTATTAATCCTGTTGTTTCGACTGCGGGTTATCATTTTGTCATTGTGATTTATATTTTCTGTACATGTTTGTCAATATGAATTGACGAGTCGGTAAAAAATGAAATATACCTCATAATACATGTCATAAAAATCTCTTTGCCAATAGCCGATACCCAGCCACAATCATATACTGTTATGAGGTGAAACACCTGTGAGACTTGGAGCTATAATGCTATCCGATTTGTCTCCCTTCACGTTTACATCGTAAGACACTTAAGCCCGCTGCATAACCACCCCAATGTGAAGAAACATCTAAACAAATACTAGTTTAAGAATAGCTTTTCTGCTGTAGGCAAAAGTTTTAAATTCATTATTTCATAAAAGGCCTAAGGATGTTTTATAGGCAACTCACTGTTTTGCTTTATTTTTGCATTGCTCTGACACACGTTTTACTTGGAATTCCAGTCCTTTGACGTTAGTACATCTGATGAGTCCTAATAAAATATATACCCTTATAGTCCAGTAAACTGTCTCATTACTGTATCAACAAACCAACTTTCTAAAAGGTCTTCCTTACTACGTTTTTCAAGTAAGTGTTATAGATAGAACATCTATAATAACATTAACTCAAAAACACAAAACGAACTCAAAGTAAACACAGAAAGGAACAGGACTAAAAGGGCATCAAAACAACAGAAATGTCATCAACCTCACGGAATCTAAGGACGTTAGTAAGTTATGGTATGCTTTTCGTTCACCATAGTTTGCATCCGTCAATATTTCCGCTGCCCAATCCAGGCGATGAGTCATTGAGGCACCATTTATCTAAATCCTTGCCAACATGAATCTTGTGATGATCGACTATATCGTAACATTTATTTACATTAGATTGAAATAGGTACGATATAAAGCCATGACGATGTCAAATTTAATTTAATTTAAACCCAAAAAACTGTTATACTAAAATGACGAACCAAAAAGAAATGTCTACTCGGTGTTCTTTCTCTGATGACATGACTCTCTGAAGCCTTACAAGTAAACGTAGCAAGATAGCTTTGATGATTTACAAATAACGTTATATGCAGGTCGGTAAGTGGCACTTAACGAACATAATTATATTACGTAAAGCTCGTACATGGCGTATGCTGATTAACTAAACGATATCACATCAAAGAAATAATCAACCAATAGAAACGGACAACCGAGCACCCACGTGACAAAAAATATTACAATATATATTTTGTAAGTGTTATTTAAATGCTTACTCGAATTTCCACGTGCCGAAGTACAATGTTGCGCCACACTTTGCTGGTCTCACTGGTGTACCTGACAGTGCTAGAGACCTGCAGTTTTGGTGAAATCGTTACCCGGGGTCGTCGGTCGGACACCAGTGGAGGATCGGCCGCCACCAAGGACGTCCTGGCCGGGGATGGTAGTAGTAGTGGCAGTAGTAATGGCGGTAAGGGAGACCCCAGCAAGTCCGCCGGAGGGGACTACTCCAAGTTTTATAAAGGTGTGAGATTATCTATTGTATTGAATCTCCATATTATAAGTCCTATTTTGAATATCACAACGTTTGTTTGATACGTAGTTTTGATGTTGATATACACGAGCTTGATGGTTTTTGTCATGACGACTCCTTATGAGTATGTTGAAATTTTCTTTAACAATAGCTCGCTACATGTGCGTTTCTCTTCTGGTTTATAATTCTAGATTTCGGAAACTTCGGCTATAAATGAGCAGAGAGTACATACGGGTCATTTCATTTCAGACATCATGGACAATTTGAAGGGCTTTATACCTAAACATGACAAGGACAGCGACAAAGACGAAAGCGACGAAGACTTGAGCGACGAGGATGACGACGATAGCAGCGATAACGATCAGATGGACTGGGCGTCCATCTTTGGTGGCTTTTCTGACAAGTATATGAACGGCACAAACAGTCAGGTATGTTATTTATCGTTCACCTAATGCATAACTATCATTTCGTAAAAGAAAATGTGAATTTTCAGAGTATTGCCTTTTAATATTATCAACATATGTCTGTATGTAACTAGTGTGAGGAGTTGTTGGAAAATAATAAGCAACGGCCCCGTTAATTATTTTAAATATTGTTTCGATTCTGTTAAACGATTCCTGTTTCTTACCCTTTAAGTCAGTATACAATTGCAAATTTACTCAATGTGCCAGTAAGTAGATGATACAAAGCGTTCAAGTCTGCAATGTGTAACACATTATCTTCCAATGTACAAGAGTATTGTGTATATCTATAGATTGGAAAACCATCAAAAAATGTGTCCATGACTTATCCATCTTCATATTCTTAACCCACGCTTTGATTGAAGGAAAGGCAAACTTCTTTTATCAATCAGGGAAAAATTTGGCATTCATAGTTTCAAAAATCTACGAACTTAATGAAGATTCAGCTTTTCCAACATTTTAAATTTAACATGTAGCAATGCACAGTGAATTTAAACTAGGCAAACCAACCATTTTACTATACCAATATTTCCAGGGTTTTAACGAACAAGATAGCACGAACCAGACCCAGCAGGATCAACAGAACGGCACTATATCTCAGGCGTTCGCCAAGTTCTTCAAAGGATAGGTGAGGTTTAAAGCGCAAAGGCACTATATCTCAGGCGTTCGCCAAGTTCTTCAAAGGATAGGTGAGGTTTAAAGCGCAAAGGCACTATATCTCAGGCGTTCGCCAGGTTCTTCAAAGGATAGGTGAGGTTTATAGAGCAAAAACGCTATATCTCAGGCGTTCGCCAAGTTCTTCAAATGATAGGTGAGGTTTATAGCGCAAAAACACTATATCTCAGGCGTTCGCCAAGTTATTCAAAGGATAGGTGAGGTTTATAATACAACAAAAATACCTTGGATCCCAGGCATTCGCCAAGTTTTTCAAAGGATAGGTGAGGTTTATAGCGCAAAAACACTATATCTCAGACAAGCGCCTTGAATTCCAAATGAAGTTTGCTATGCAAAACCTCATATTGTATCGTAGACATTCGCCAAGCACTTCTTAGAATATATCGATATAAAAATAAAAATTCTAGGTCGATATGTGTTGTCCGTGTGTTATGTAACATCTGTGATTGTTACAGATATAGAATTCCTTTATATATCAAAGTGTGGGTTAACAATTCATTGCTTATGCATGTACATGTAAGAAACTATTATCGTATCATCAAAAAACGTACAACTCGCTTTTCTCAAATCCATGTAATATAATCATCACAGATAACGATAATTTTACAACTCGTGATGTTTGTCTAAGAAATATAACAATAGCATACGTATTTTTGTTCCAGGAGGCGGCATGATGCGCAACTTCCACAGCTTATATGGAAACAAACCTGAACAGCGTCAACGTCTATTTCACTTCATCATTATTATATTAATATGTTGCAATTTTATGAAAATAAAACAAACTGGTCATCATTGCATAGTTGACTTTTTATGTACAGCAATACTAAGGAATGAATCTGAGCAAGGATTGCCAAATATCATCGAACGAGTAAACAAATATACATCTAGTGTTGAAAATATTATTTATCTGTCAACTGAAAACGATATAGTTAAGCATTTGCTTTCCTCAGTAATGTATCGAAGAAAATGTCACGTTTCGTATTAAATTGGACACTTTTTATGCTGAAGTATTGGGGATTCATTTTGTGTTGCTTTTGATCCCCTTAGAGCTCGAAAGTTTATAAGAACAAAATAAAGAAAGAAATGTTATTAAATATAATAAACAAATTGTTTTTAAAAGTGTAGTAAGAAAAATAGGGGTTTTGTTTACAAAATGAATGTGATTTCAAAAAACAATCATCTAAAAATAAGGAAATATATATGGAAACTACATATTTAGATTGTTTGGGCGTAAACACTACAGGTCCGGTGAAGGTACATAGATATGCATGTACTTTCACGTTTCTACGCAATGCTATTGCCATAACCTTATGAGAACGACGTTAGATAATGTCTTTGGATCATCCTGCATATTACAAACAAACTTCACAAAATTAATTTCATTTCATTACCACACTATTGTCCTTCGCAATAACCTGGGCAAAACGATGGAAGGGTATAATAACAACAACAAATCACTACCATGTGTCCTTGTTAAAACAACGTTAGGGTATAACACTTCGTAACAAAGAATTTTATCAATTAGAACATTTTATAACTGGTGGATTCTGGATGACTACGTCAGAAAATCTGGGAAACGAGATTATGCTGTGTCGGATTCATTTTCAGAATAAGTAAAATATGTATGGCCCTTTAACAAAAATAAAAAAGAGCTTAAAATCAAAACGAAAACAAAGCACAGGTATATTTTTGTACCCTGACATGCAAACCACAGCTAGTGATCTGTATACATATGTAGTTTGTCAGCAGGAACGGCATCTACATTTTTAAGTTTCCTGCTTACAAAAAGAACTACGATTGCTTGATAACTAAGAAAGCACTATGTATCCAAATTTCCTATATCTAATATTAGTACAAATAAATTAGGTTATTCAATCGTACTGTCAAATAAAAAACGACACAGGCCAAGACGAAATTTACTTAGGATGTCAATTTGAAAATGATAAAGCTTCTGGTTGACAAACGCTTGGTTGTGTTCGATGGCGAGATTTCTTAGCAGACTGTAAGCATTTTATGGAAACCAACTGTGCCCCTCTATTGCACGACTTGTACTACGGACTAAGGAAGTAATCAAGACAGTCCTTCAATTTTACTTTGAGATATATCGACGATGTAATGTCTTTGAGGAACAAAATATTCATTTATTAAGTCGATTGTACATATCCTCATCAACCTGAAATCCATGACACTACAGTACATAATTAACATCAGCCGCTTGCCTCGATCTTTACTTACACCATGGCCAGCAGAGATGAATGGACACTGAATCGGCATGATTAATGTGGCGATTTGGAATTTTTAAATGTGAACTTTCTTGTTTGTAACATCCCACCTTCCCCCACCTTCAGTGTTAACATTTCACAGTCAATTTGATAACCACAAGCTTACTTCGAATATCATGATTTCCGTGATAGCTATCTTATGCTGACGAACACACTAATAACACAATATTGCTATATCTAGAGGTTGACGAAACCCATGGTGACAGTACCCAAATCGGATCACCAAACCATCGTTTTATTAAATCATTGAAAAATCTGAAGAGGAATTATATTCATTTATGGTTGTATCAAAAATAGAATATCGATGGGTGTTCTCACAAACGAAATTACCACCTGGGGCTCACTTGAGATATTTATAGAATGCTCTGAAGTCACCAATCAGCGTCTCATGTTTTTGCGAATGTCGGGACCCAAATCGGATCACTGCTTGAATTTTTGAAGTATCGTACGCTTCAAATGAATATTTTTTTGTCAGCATATTAACATTTTGTGATGACCTTTAGAATTTATGTGACAAAAAGTATTTCTATAGTGTGAATTAATTCCTATAATCCAAAACATAGTGCATAGTCGTCGCACGCGCCATTTTTTAAAAATCGTAATCAAAACATTGACATTTGAGTTTGAATTACGTTTTCTTGCGCTATTTGAACTTAAAAACTAATTATCTGTAGTTAAAACATGGTGCATGGCTATCTTTTCTAAGACAACATCATTGTTATAACTGATTTCTTGACACATTTATTTATTTATAAGTATTTTTGCAAAAAGTGATCCGATTTGGGTACCGATCCAATTTGGGTACTGCCACCTTATGGGCAAGTATTATAGTCGCTTTAACGATCTCAATGGGGAAAATTATATTTCTTTGTACTATACGGATATCAACGTTTGCTAATTTGTGTACTTTTGGTCCGTTATCAATTGTCCGGTTGTCACTTTGAAAACGTTACATTACTTGGATTTGATCTAGATTAACATGACAGTTACCGTCGTTAACGCTTACCCTCCCGGAACACCTGTAATTATCCCTCTTGTCTTTCTTTTAAGGATAGCCGCATTCTTTTTTATTTGTTTACTTGTTTACACTACATTTCTATTTTGATAAAGTGTTTCTGTTTAATGAAGCAGCAGTTGTTGCGTCGCTGCTGACAGTAGTAAGATCATTTTCCTTAAAGAAACTGATTGCTCCCTGTCCGAAACGTATCTCACTGTAAGCGTGTTTTGCACATTGAAACTCGGATTTCATAGGTATTGTCGGATGACAAGCAAAGACAAACTCCGCTAATATAAGATACTCCATTTAATGCTTAATAACATTCAACAAAAATTGTAAACTGATGTTTGTAAAGTACAGGTTTTTAAGATGTGATATATTCCGGCTTTTGAGCAAGAACGAAATAATAGTTTATTCGAGTAATAAATAAGTTTTTGAAAATATGCAGTAAACCTGTAACTAAGCTCAAAATCTAAAAACATTGGATAAAATTGCTAACACTTTTGACTTGGAAGAAACAATTGTCTGGCCCGCATATTTCAGAAGTGGCAATTTAAACCGCGTGTGACTTCTTTATCGACCAGTGAATCAACCTGCTGCATATACATTATACACTTCCTTTGATACATTAGGTAACCACTGTTTATCATATATATCACCCATCCATTGTTTATTACATACCGGTGAACCTTACTGTAATGAGTCAGTCAGTTATCAGACCAGACGATGCACGGTTCTGTATTCACCGTGATCAATACAGGAGTGTTGTACAAGTAAATCCTTTTAAGCTGCTTAGGCTGTTATCCACTGAGTGAATCAGTTCATCGAAACACGTTTATATACATTTTAGTTTAATTTTTACCGATTTTGCATTGTAACGTGGGGGATTTATTCAGTCTTCAACATCCATACATTTTTCTTTCATATTTTTTTGGGAAGCTTTAAAATACATATAGAATACCAAGTGAATATAAGCAATAAAATTGTATATTCATCTTATGTTAGCAGGTATGAATCGTTCATTGCAAGAACCTACACATTCTACTCATCATCGTGGAATTGCCTATACATCCAGACAATCTATATAAGGAGAACTCTGGAAGGCTCCAATCATTTCAGGAATTCTTCTTTAGTAATCCTGACAAATGTTCAGTCTTATAATTTAACACTGTTTATAACACGCCTCTTCATTGGTTCGTGTTAACAGTCTATCATGTGATAGACCAACACATAACGTATTTTGATGACATCACATGCTAGCATCATAGTCGATTTTAGAACAGATGACTTTGGAATATTCTCGACGACTACCAAAGATCTATACAAGGCCTTATTAGCGTCTTTATTTGAGAGTGAAATAAAAGAATCTGTTTAAAGCTCCAGCTCCACTAGATTGGTACGTCATAGCACACGCGCGGGAATTTCATTGATCAGATTAAAATGTCCCATTCATAATGACTAATGTCCCATTACTAATTTCATTGTAAATAAAATGAAAAATATTTTGTCTTAAAAAAGTTTTCTATCTTATTTTGGAATGAAAATATAAAGAATTGGCAGGGTATGTATTTTATTTAAATTTGACAGAAACCGTCGTTATAATACTTTAATTGTTTAATTCATAAATTGAATGTTATAAATGAAAAATAGATATGAAAAGCTACGCTTTAAATATATAAATATATATATCAATTACCTTCTAACAGTACTAGGGCAATGCAATTTCGGTGCGTTGATACATGGTAAATTATCTTTAAAATATGATAGATTACATTTTAACAATCTGAACATTGACTTTTACACTAAGTACACAAGTAAACATCGTGTACCTGTTTGGTCATTGAATGAACTACATGGACAGCTGGTAGTTGTTTGAGTTGATGTTTTGTGAAAGCTACAGGTTCATGTTTAGAGCAAAACTTTCCTTTATTGTTTGTCTAATTTGATTTCACAGATGATACATCTTAACTATTTAGAACTTCTTAAATACTGTAAATTAATCATAACGCTTTACTTAACTACAGGAACCATTGCCGGAATCAGTACCTGTCACTCACTTCAACAATTTAACAAGCGTTTAAAAAAACATTTTTATGACCTTTAATTTGACATGATGCAATATTTGTTAATTACAACAACCTAACATAATGGTATATATGTAACAAGGTACCAGCATGTTTTGTCAGCATATCTCTCCTCATCAATCTCATATAGTCACGTGGTCATCCTTCTATAGTACATAGCCTCGGAAGGCGACGGCTGTGTGTGCTAAACTTTGTGAGTGAATAGACAGGACTATGTTCAGGACAAGAACCCTCCACCTTGTGGTGTTCGTCACAGTGACCGTATCTGTTGTCGCCAGCCATATTGTAAAGAGTCAGAGTAACAATGACAACCAACCCGGACAGTCTAGACATGATGGCAAACGGGCGATGGACAGCATGTATAAAGGTAAAATAGTGTCTCGTTACTACCAATACATCTTCTCTACAGCCCGGATAGAAAAACGGGTAATGGACAATAATGCAGATAGGGTAAAGTAAAAGTCCAGTGAATTTACAGATATACATGGACACAATTGCAAAAGATTTTATTTTGTGTTATGTTCATTGATGTTAATCGCTATGGTAATGGGAAAAAAGTCCTCCGAAATCAACCTTCTGAAATTTCCATTTTTTTATATTTCTTTTGGATCAAGACAATTTAAAAAAAAACCAGTTATTTGACCATCCATGAAGTACGATATCTATCTTTTGTGTAACACTGAGAATAGGAAATCAAAAGCATAGTAAAACTATCTACATGTAAATTACAACGCACACTTGAAAAAGAGGTTACATCAGAATCATTGTACTGAAAAAAATGCGAAACTATCTGAATGGTCACTATGATATTTGTTTTTAATTTTCATATTGAGATAATGTTGTTTAAACTTAAAACAAAATGTCAAATTTAAATTTGGCCAGCGCGCCTTATTGAACGAAACGCCCATTTCTGTTACCTGCAGTGAGAAATGGTGTGAAACAAAGGCTTAGACCCATTTATATAACAGAGCAGAAGATTATTATCAATAAGATGTCAAAACATAGACAAAATAATAAAATTATACTTACAATGTACGTCAGAATATAGACAGAAGAATAGTATTGATATGGAACAAATGCAATTGTTGAGTAAACGGCATTGTATGGGAAGCTCAGGCAAAATGACATGAATGCGAAGTTTTTGATGTTGTGGCGACAGCGATATGTTATTAAGATGAATTATTTGTAAATAATATGCAGGTATGATGGAGTCCTTTAAGACGAGTTTTGTACCCGGTTCTAAGAAGGACGACGGCAATACTGATGCTTCTCCAAGTGATTGGAAGAACATGATACCAGGTTTTGCAAAAGGTTTTATTCCTGATAGTGCAGAGGTACGTAAAAAGATGGTATATCCATAGGAGTGTGTATGTTGGAAATATAAAGGCGTAATAAGTTATGTAAAGGTTTTCACTCCTGATAGTAAAAAGGTATGTAATTTAAATATTTTTGTTCCTGGCAGTACAGAGGTGCGTAATATAAAAGTTGCTATTGATGGTCGCTAAAAGTACACAACTTATGAACAGAATAACATTAATCATCTGACATTATATTAAACACGAAATACCTATACTCATTTGTCAAATTCTCACTTTGAAAAGAACACTTTCATATGTTTTATTTAGGGTATGAAGTTATATCGTGTCTTATGTAGATGTAATATATATTCTAAATTATTTTAACTTAAACTAAGGCTTTTTAAAAACATCGACACAAAATCATCATATGCAAGTTATTATAGAGGAATTTAACAAGATTGAAGACTTTCTAAAGTCAGTGATCATGTGATAGTGGGTATTATGTGTTAACATCGTTTTTACTATTCGTGTTATCATTCATCATCTTACATTTAAGGATGGAACAGATAACAGCACTGTCAGTGAAGACGCTGTTGCAGATCCTTCTGCCACAAACGCGACCTCCGTGGATATCGAAGGGGCATTCCATGTCAACGCCGCCATTAAAGATGACGAATCAGTCGGAGAGGAAAAAATGACGTCACAAGATGGCAGTTCACCTGATAGTACTGCACTACCGGCAGTTCTGTCAACAGACGATAACGTTCCCTCGGAATTCGGTCTCCTCACTCATGATAATGATCTAGCGAGTACTGATACACAATCTAGTGAGACAGAAGCTATGGAAACCCCGGCAGATATGACTGGTAAACAGGATGAACAAGGCAGTGATATGGCACAATCAGAAAGTGATCTAGCAGAAAAACAAGCTAAAGAACCACCAGCAGATACGGAAACAAATGTTGAAAATACAGAAACGGACTTAACTGAACAGGAACCAAGTTCAGATACCAGAAAGGTAGTTGAAATCTCATTAAATGTCAGTATGTTTAGATAAAACTGCATGCACATTGTTTCCTTTAGTAAGTTTTGTCATAATAAATTGATAATTATAAATTTTAAATCGATGTGATAATTTTATGTTCATTATCTATATTGATATCATAACCTTACCAACATTATCTACCTCAATATCATTATCTTATAAACATAATATACATCGATATTATAATTTTTTATACATTATATATACTGGTATCAAAATTTTATTTATAAGCGTTATATACATGTACATTAATGAACATACTAACCGAATTGCCCCAGTCTATGTTTCTGAAGGTGGCAATGCGTGGTAAGGCGTCCCTCAAGAAAGACGGGGAAACAGCAGCGGAGGCAGCTGAGGAAGACACGAAGGAAACTGTTATTTAGTCCTCACATCTCAACCACATAAATAGTGAGTAAATACAGATTAAACACAACCAAACTTACCTATGTTACTCATAGATTATTGTTTAATGAAGTGAAAAGAAAGTTTTCAGTAACGGATGTTTCTTTTCTGTTCTGTTTTTCTGGCTAATGCCATATACATTTTATTTTATTTCATAAACATCATATTTAGTATCTTAATTTTGTTATTCATCTTAACTAATATTAAATATTGTATATTTCAGATTACCATGCACCTGGACATGACCAGAATATCGTTCACATATACTAAATTTTCAATGTTAATGTATACTTGAAGAACGACAATAAAATGGTTAACAAAAGTATAGGGATTTTGTTGATTTTAAAAACTTTACGTGACAAAAGGTGCAGACTTACATCAGCAGATGTTCAAACTTTTAACATCTTGTTAACAATGCTGATTTGATATGCTCAAGCTGATTTCCTTGGTTTAAGGTTAACATAGCATATTGTGATACACTGGCAGAAACAAGTGTCACAGAGAATTATGAAACATCTTTCAAAACGCATTATGAGAAAAATTACACTGTAAGTTTACTAAAAAAAATGGTTATACTTCCTTTTAATAAGTGCAGTTTTTATTAGTTAGTACCTGAAGCATATATATGATTATCGATACACAAGTTACAATATTCTATTTGAAGGATGAAAAGCCACACGTGTACACTATGATAACGTGAGATCTTTATTGCGTTAGAGACAGTATATCTCAAAGAAATCAGCTGTCATTTGAAACGAAATTGATATTGTCCGTTATCAAGGTCGGAAATGCCTTTCCATTTAAAAATGTGAATATTTGACAAAATGTGGAATTATGAAATATGTATGGAAAACTGATGTCTGTTTTATTGCTTTGTTGTTTTGACATATGTTGTCAGGAGTCAATCAATGTAAGGAAAACAGTTGTAAATATTACTTTACTGTGATCAAATTAATTTGGTGAAAAAGTATTCGCGACTTCCATAAAGTAATAGTAAAGTAATATGTAAAATAGAAATTGTTGCCTCATTATTGTATTACTAAATAAAACAGAAAAAATAATACCATAGCGTAGCACAACACGAACAACATCAATTCTTAAAACAATAACAAAGAAGACATCGACACAAAAGGAACATATCATTAAGCACCGTAAATTTGGTAAAATAAATACACCATGCAGCACATGTGGCTTCTGTCATTAAGTCTCTTATCCTCAGTTTTTGTGAATATGGACACCTTTGTACTTCTGAAAAGTATCAATTGTTCCATATTTATTAGTAACATTAATTTTGTAATTAGTGTTACTAAATACATGTATTAGTATCATTTGTAATTACATGAAACACAATTCAACATAATAATAAATTGTGTGACTAATAGGTTATTTTTTTATTTCCAAAACATGACGAAAGGGCCTGTTTCCAGTAATGTTAATTCTCCATAGGAGCCTGCCCCCGTATAATTTCTTATCTAGCTCAACTACTGTTTTTTACTTTTCCGAAGAATAATTTTACACCTTTCCGACACCCAGATTTCATAATTTCAGTGAAAATGTATTTTTAAAAAGTTGTCAATTTCAGCATCAAAGACATAAGTTCGTAAATAAAAGAAGGTTATCTCGAAATTGTAATTCGCAACATAGTATAAATTTCTTTTGATAAATATTTCCAAAACATCGTGTTTATTCATAAAACATAAAAAAAAAATTCTCGGATGAAAATGCACTTGCAGAGACACAATTATGAAGAAAAATGCCNATTTAACCAAATTTAATTTAATTTAAAATGTTATCATCGAAAATGGCATTTTTGAGATTGTTTCTTCCATAAAACAGCCAAATGGCGCGATTGAAACATAATTTTTTGTCACAATCATGCCATGAATGAATTCTTCACGGTGACCATCATTTGATCAGATTTTCATTAATATTTTACATAACATGCACATTTTATCAACACTTAGACAGCTTCTGAAACTTTGAGGAGCCATAAAAAAACAAACCAAGTGACCTAAATCTTTATACTTTATAGATTTGTGACCACAACGGCATGGGCAATGCACCACCAACAGGAAATTTGAATCAGAGAAGGGGCCGTTTTGGAAACCGGCCCTTTGTGTAGCTACAGTATATATGAAACATCGTTTTCAAAATTTAGTCAACATTAATGACTATCTGACACACATCAGTTGCTGAATTTAAGTACTTTTTGTAGATCTGTTGTACATTTATTTCAAATATTCGATTCAAATTGTACGTTTATGTAAAAAGATAGAAGTACGGGTTAGAAAAGGTCCCACCTTATAGCTTAACCAACACATGATATTTATCACACTGTTGAATGGAACATACATTTCATCGAAATAACAATTCAACTACAGTTTATCGGTCGTAGTTCATTCTCCGTATATGTTACATAATCAGCTGATCGGTCGTAGTTCATTCTCCGTTTATGTTACATAATTAGCTGATCAGTCGTAGTTCATTCTCCGTCTATGTTACATAATCAGCTGATTGGTCGTAGTTCATTCTCCGTATATGTTTCATAATTAGCTGATCGGTCGTAGTTCATTCTCAGTATATGTTACATAATCAGCTGATATTCACTTATTGCATCATGTTGCTTTAACTGCTGAGCAGTGTGAGGAACATTCAAGAAACTATGAGATGGACAACTTTAAAAGCAACCATCTATAAATACTCCTATAAATGTGCTCATTCAACCTACAACATTACGATTGATAATTCATTTCATTTGTCTCATATAGAGTTATTAAAGAATTCGCGATTCCATAACATCTGAAAAGATGCCATGGTAAGTCGGATAGACTAGTATTGTTTATTGTGTTAAAAAGGATCTGTCATATAAGTATACAAACTTTGAATTTTTATATTTCATTTCTAGAAATATTTTGATCCATATTAATTGGAATACAAACATTTTAACGTTGAACTCGGTATCAAATCAATTGATTTATTACAATCGGCATTTAACTGGATATATAACCAACTTGTTGTTAAATGAAACAGTCAACATCACAATCAGAGGCAGAATCGATTGACTAATTGAAATAGTTTGCAATACACCACACAACAGCATTAATGCACAGGACCAAATCGATGTACCAAATCAGTACGAAAATCAGTAACACGAATGAATATAAAAACAAAATAAATAATATGATTAAGTATATAAACCATCCAGACAACTATCCTTCTGTAGGAAATGTCGAGTTAGAAAGCTTATATAAAACATCGTCGTTCTAGAAGAATATCTCAAAGAAGGAAGCTTCGCACATAAAACAGTCTAATCTGTGATATAATTCTTATAATTCTTATTGTTTGTCTTATGAAGGTAGTAGAGTGCACATCGTCGTAGTCACCAATGCATCCATTCATTTTCTACCTTTATAAAAGATAAGTATATACTCCAACCCAAGATAAGTCAAGAAAATATCCCAATACAATCCTCCGATTAGACATTTGACATGCAATAAACCGTAACACGAATTTCATATCACTAAAGAAATGATTATCATGCTCTGCATTAATAGCTTACCAAAACTTGTGTTTGCCTATTATTTAATTCCTTGATAGTCCATTTTCTAAATTTGTCAAGTTGAAGGATTTAAAATATATTTTCTTCCGTATTTAATTGAATAGTTTGTCTCTTTTTTCATCTAGGCAACTGAGCGAGATAAACTATTAGTAAACCATTGTACACGTTTTATCTACAATTTATTCGTTGTAAATAAATCATATTTTAAAACGATCCAATGGGAGAACTTGGACATTATGATTGCTTGACCCTCAATAAAATGTAAATATCATTATGATATTTGATGCCTTCGATGCTTTACAAACCATATAACTTCAAAAACATATTTCATAAAGCAGGTACTAGTCATAGGTCGGTGGCGTTTCTCCGGGAACTCCGGCTTTCCTGAACCACCAAAACCTGGCATATCCTTAAGTGACCATAGCTGTTAATAGCACATAAACACAAACACGCCAACCTGAATTCATAAAGTAAATGCAATATGGAATACAATGTTAAAAGTATTGGGGTTTTTTTTTTTAAATGCATATGGAGCCTGTTTCATGGGGAGGAACAAGTATAGATATTGATGTAAATCTATGACCTAAGTGCTGTCGTAAAAACGTTCTCAGTGTAAAGTTAAGGTATTGGCAGTGGTACAAGAATACCAGCATTGTACACTAAGGTTTCGTCTGTATCGTGAAACAGATCGCATTAAGGTCACGTAACAGGCCTTGATCAGGAGAGTTTAGTTTTATACAGTATCACAGTACTGAACACTATGGCCAGGAGGGTACACATCCCATTGTTAGTTGTCTTTGCTGTGTTGCTTTACAATTCCCAGCTATCTGATGGATCAGTAGAAGATCAGACCAAACATAATGATAAGCGAGCCATGGGCAGCATGTTTCAAGGTAAAATAATATAACTATACTGATAGCCATTAAATTCCTATTTAGCATGTATTACGCAAATTTAATGAAAATATCTTTTAAATTAATATCGGCCTTAGAGTCTACAAAGACAGTATAAAGTTTCATTCGTTTATCAAATATAGAAAGATAAACCCCTGTTATTGTCAGTAGAATTCCGTTTAAGTGCTTTCATGGTTTGGTATGTCTTCACTTATCTGCTTTCCTAATTCACTATATTTATAATAAATTAATGAGTCAATCAAAGCATGTTTCATTCGCGCATATTACAAATCTAAATGCATATCTGTTAAGTAAATAGTATTTAGATAATTACAAGCTTTCGTTATTTCTTCATTTATTCTTTGGTATGATTGTAATTAACACATGTTCACGAAAAGACATCCTGAAATCGATAAAGACAAACTTCGTGCCCGGCAGTAAGAGTAAGAATCCAAAGGGAGGTGAAGGTGGTGACGGGAATTCCGGGGGATCGGCAAGTGGATCATGGAAAAACATGATACCTGACATAGCTAAAGCCTTCATACCGGACGAGGACCAGGTAAAGTAGAGATGCTGTAATAACTAATTAAAATCAGGGTGTGTTTTTTTTTTAATTATTGAACATTGGATGAATTTGAATTTTTTTTTTTCGTTTACCTCTTCCGATGATTTATGTATCTATCTCTCAAGTGACATATGTTGACCACAACGTACAGCTGGTGATTGTTACATGATTTCGACTTTTTTGTTTGTTACAGGATGATAACAGCACCTCAACAGAAGACATACAGGATGACGATTCTAGAACTAACATAACAGAGATAGATCCGCAAGCCACCAAAGTTAATGCTGGTGTCACGGAAAATATAGGAGAGGATAAAAAGATTCCTAACCAATCGCCACAGGATGCAGGAATACCAGACGACATGTCGCAAGATGGTGACAAAACGGATGAGGACACGCACGTCGATGACAAACAAGATGACATGCAAGACAGTGGTACAAAAGCGGATGGCTCTGCGGATAATGCTAGTGAACCAGGTGAAAAACCAGGAATGGAAACTGAAAAACAAAATGAGAAAGTAAATGAAGGAATAACGGAAAACATGGGAGACAATACCGATTTAAAATTAATGATTAATGCAACAACAGACGAAACTGTTACTACGACAGAAGGAGCTGATGATCAAAAGGAGTTAGAAGCTGGTGTGCACGACTCAGCAGAAAATGGTGTTCATGACAACGATAAGATCGGGGAACTCTCCTGGGAAAATGAGTCGGAGGAAGTACAGGGAGAAGAAGTAGATACTGGGGACGGATCAGAAAATCAGAAAACAAATGACGATCAGGATGAGGCTGAGGAAGATACGGTAAAAGTGAATGCTGGAGTGACAGAAAACCTTGGGAATGACAATGTCAACCCCAAACCAGTTAAATCTGCGTCGGCCGATGGTCATGACGTCAGCGACGACAATGTCAATCCAGAACCCGAGAATTCTGCGTCGGCCGATGGTCATGACGACCACAATAATAAAACTGTAACCATCAAACAAACACTCAAGTTTGAAAAGAGTCAATCTTTATCATGGGAAAGTGAATCGCCGGAACTACTGGAGGATGAGATGGAAAAAGGAAAGGTTGCCAAACAAATCGATAATGTAAGTAAAGGAGAAAAATACAAAAACTGAAGAATTATTTTTGCAAACTAAAGCATAGCACTTGGTGTTTGTCATAAGCGGCAGCTAATAACTGCAAAACGTCTTGCGGTTAAAGATAATTCAGATGTTTTTTTCATTTTCCTTTTATAAGCAGGCCTCAAAATTTCATCTGAGGAAAATACAACCTGTATTCAAATCCGGGACCTCTGAACTGTAGATTAATTTAGCTATCCAGCCACTGTTAGACAAATGGCTCAGTTCAGCTACACTAACATCAAAACGACAAAACATTAATTTAACTTTTACCATGATAAATCTGGTTATCTCATGTAGACTTCGTTCTTATATGGGTTCATTATGTGTATTCCTTACATTTGTATTTGGTTTCCGCGTCTTCTTTCCGTTTGATCGTTGGCGCTGTAGTATATTATCATTGTGTTTTGGTGATATAGTATATTTCTGTCCTTTTGCTGTTTGGTGGTGACGCTATGGTATACTTTTTGTCCGCTAGTTGTGGTATACTTTGTCCTTATTACCTCTATCCCTTTGTGCTGGCGTTGTGCTATATCTTACACGTACGTACGTGTTCATGCTTTGTGATATAATTTCAAGTTCTTCAGTGTTGACACTGTGACATGCTTTAGCCTTCAGTATGTTTTTTCAGCGTTTTTCTCTTTCACCTTTATTCAAATATGAATGGCGAAATGTATTGCCAGTTCTTTTAGATACATATCCTATTTTAGTAAATTTTAAATTATATTTTAAGGATCATTGATGATATTTTATAGTAAAAGAGGAATCTCCTCTTTTTTTCTTTTTCTTTTTTCAATTTCAAAGAGACAGTACTAGTGTATATATGCATCTCTACAATGAAATTGGTTATCATAATACGCTCTTTATAGCATCGGTACAAAATGCAGTTGCAGTGAGGTGATGCCGATGAAATAGCTACATCTTGTTTATACCAAAATACCCGTATATACCAAAAACGAAATTGGGAGATTAAGCAAAATACCCGTATATTAGACTTTCTTTCATATTTTTTAGCGTTCAACCCTGCTTTTTCAGTTCAATTTATATGTTGTCAATCCAAAAGACAAATTTTCGTTTTAATGTTTTAGGATGCTACCGAGGATTGAACGAATCTAGCTGGCTATTAACAGAAGAAATGCAGAAGGGCAGAAGAAGGATGAAGAATCACTTCGAAAAATTATGATTTTGTTTTTCAAAATGTGTTCATGCATTCTATATATGGTTCGACTTGTTATTGTTGACCTCTGTTCCAGATTTTGATTTAATGAACGTTTGTAATTTGTTTCGATAACCTTGATTGTGATTGTATATTGATATAATAAAATATAATCATTAAATATCCTTGTGTCTCTTGTTGTTACGAAAAGTGTGTGTCTATAAAATCAGACATACATTTCTGACGTCTCTAACGCTCAAATACAACATGCTCAGAGATATCTATATCTACATATCCAAAATTTTAAAAGGTGGGTTTTCAAAAGGTTGTGAATTCATACTTAAACATGAATTTCATATTATTTTCAAAAGCAATTGTGGTTTAAAGAGGATATCGTAACAAAGAATTACTATAAGATGTACTCATAAATTGATATCAAAAATATTTTCGATGTGCATCAAATGTCAATATGTTCCTTGAAGTCGAATAACTGTTCTGTACTAAAAGTGAAGAAATTGTTTTTATTTTCGATTAAACACCCTTGCACAAGTTCAAACTGAACACTTGAAATACGAAGAAAAAAAGCAGTTTTTTTGAACAAAATATTATCGATGCAGAAAATCAAACAAAGTAGACATTTTTCCTGGACCATATGAGCATTTCATCCATTTTGGGCACATTAGTAATGCTTAAGGTCAAACTAATTTAAGATACTCCTCGTTTATGGAGCATACGTAGAATACAACGAAGAGAATGTACCTTAAAATACCCTTTATTACGTTACAAATTGAAAATGTTTGGCTACAATAGATGATTAATAACATGATAAGTATCTCCTGTTAATGATGTGTTTCTTATTTCTGTGGCTGTTACATACATTAATGACGAGATCCCTGTCTTCGTTAATTCCTCGTTAACACCGGTGATATCAGAGAACATGGTTAATCTCTTTTAGTCAATTCTGCAAGATTTGAAGAAAACATGAGTAGATATCCCTCCATGGTTCAACGTTATCGAAGTCCCCACCTTTAGTACGAGTGTAAAGTAAACACTAACAGTAACATCCTTCACCAAGTCCACAAAGACCTCAGTGAATGATCAATTGATGTGGGAGATATGGTACATACTAAATTACCTTCTGCATTAAATGTGCACTTGCCTCAAAACTGTTATCAGTTAGGCATCTTCTTTCTTTAGCATTCCAAAAAGGTCTGTCATTGTAGAAATCCTATCATTCACCTTTACTACTTTAGTAACATATACTAAAAGTATTGACATAAGTGTACAATAGGCGTTATTAGGAATTGTTATGTTCTTACTTGCGTGTTGGCATCATAAACATATACTAAGAACAGTCAACAGTGTTGCGTTATAAAATATCGTTGGCTAAGTGTTGTGTAAGTAGTCATCCCTTGGAACAGATAATACGCACAGCATGAACAATTTAATGCTTTTGAACGTTTTCGGTAAACGTATAAAAAGTCAATTTCACTCGTAAAGATAAAACCAATAAGCATTTTATAAAAAGACATTTCAGACAAGATATAAATGTCAGTAACAAATTGGGATTTAAACGGTGGAACATTGATATATTGTTGTCAAAGTATGTTTCTTGATAAACAAGGTTGGTTTACTTATGCTTCTTAGTATAATCCTTCGATACTCCTAGTGATCGTTAACGCCACACAACAACAAATAAATATGGATATTTTTACCACCGTTTTGGATGTCCTTTGGTCAATATACATAATAAATGTTAATTTTGTGTCAGAAGTCTAGCTTCCCTTTTCAATTGTAAATTGTCACTAATTTTCCGCTAAGACTTCCGGTATCGTACATAAATCATGTACTTGATTACAGCATTTCAACTTATTAAAACAGTACATCCTGTAAAACAAACCATCAGTTATAATGTGATCTACTGACTATAACTGACCTCCATACACCTTAGAAAAGAAGCTATTTTCTGTTGATAGTGTTACGTCGCAAAGTCGTTGACTATTTTAAAAAAATGATTATTTAATCTTGTCGAAATTATAAAAGACTCATTTTCCTCCTGTTGCATTTCTACATGTTTCTGTTTTTCCTTTTTCTTAACTTTGTGTACCACTGGTAAGTCCTACATGGACAAATCGACAAACTGGTGCAGTGGGCTTGCAGCTTCAACTTACTACCTTATTTGTAAATAGGTATTGTATAGCCTCGTATATCTAGTGATTGTTCTTAAAATTAGGTACATTGTAGCAACATTTATCTGGGGATAATATCAGTTCATTGTCTCTCCAAAATTCCCAACCATATCTAAAACGTGTGTACCTTACTTTCAGTCTATTAATACCTACTATTTTGCCCACAACGATATACTGTACCAAACAACACACCGAGACCAAATATAGTGTGGTACTATCCCATCAGGAAAAATATACTACGTGTACAACATCAACTATCACATCAAATCTTACTGCAACGACTCAAACTAGCACAAGATATACACCAACAAAAATACACCAGATAAAAAAAAATACCACACCAAATTACCACACCAGAGTGAACAAAAAAACCCACATCAAACGTCAAAATATATCACAGCATCAACAAGTCAAATATATCATAGCATAATCAACAACGTTAAAATAAATCACAGAGGCTACGCTCAAAGTCACACTATACTACCGCAGCAAAACAACATATCAAAACATACAACAACATGTCAAAACATACAACAACCTATCAAAACATACAACACCATGTCAAAACATACAACAACATGTCAAAACATACAACAACATATCAAAACATACAACAACATGACAAAAACATACAACAACATGTCAAAACATACAACAACATGTCAAAACATACAACAACCTATCAAAACATACAACACCATGTCGAAACATACAACAACATATCAAAACATACAACAACATGTCAAAACATATAACAACATATCAAAACATACAACAACATGTAAAAACATACAACAACATATCAAAACATACAACAACATATCAAAACGTACAACAACATGTCAAAACACACAACAACATGTCAAAACATACACCAACATATCAAAACCTACAACAACATATCAAAACATGCAACAACATGTCAAAACATATAACAAAATATCAAAACATACAACAACCTGTCAAAACATACAACAACACATCAAAACATACAACAAAATATCAAAACATACAACAAAATGTCCAAACATAAAACAAAATATCAAAACATACAACAACGTATCAAAACATACAACAACGTATCAAAACATACAACAACATATCAAAACATACAACAACATGTCAAAACATACAACAACATATCAAAACATACCACAACATATCAAAACACCAGGTGAAATATACCACAGAATCCATGTAACAGGTCAAAATCAGAACGCGATAAGTTAAGATAAAAACGGGACCATAGAAGATCAAAACAAAGACATGGTTGTAAATCAGGTTATTATAATGACTAAAATTTCTCCAACGTAACATATATCTAGAGGGTTCTGCAAAGATTTTTATTATTTGAAATATGTTACATATTGTAAAAATAACTAAAACTGATAAATAATATACCTTATACGTTAATCGAGTACAGTGTATAAAGTTTGTGTTAGATTGCTGAAATTTATTTAGAAGGCACGGGAGGTTGTTCTGAAAGGCGCAACTGATGTCGGCACAAATGGTTCTTTCATTTACTAGTTCTTAACCGTATAAAGCATTAAGGACAATGCGGGTGGAAATTATAAACTTATAGTTCTAGCCCAAAACCGGTTAGAATCATTAATACACACCAAACGTGACTTGTTTTTTAATTGTGTTGCAACAAACTATTATAATATTATAATTATAGATTTTCAAAAACAAGTAAAGAGTAACAAAGTGTAAAATATATCCCAGCTTATGAACGTTTACAACGTGACCACGTGACGGTGTGACGTAGGTTGTAGTATTTATGATGAGATGTATTACCACTACGTCTATCCGCTGGTCAGGGTGATTGTTATACAGTGGTGTATTACACCGGTCCGGTGTGGTCAGTATACGGATTACAGGGCAACAGATGGACACTCCGTCCACGATGTGTTATTTGGTGAGTAAATATTGTCTTATTTGTCAAATATAATCACACGTTAGTTACTGTTGTAGCTGTTCAGGGATATTAGACATATTTACTTAGCTAGCCCGTATACATTTATATCTCTTTGCTCTTTTTTGTTCTTTTGTTTGTGTATTATGTTGTTCGTTTATTTTGTGTTATTTGAATATATTACAATTAACAATTTATTTCATTTTGATATTTTAAGAGCTTTTCGTTAATATCATGACATGATTATCAATAATTTATTCTAATATTGATGTTGACGTATCTTTTTATTGCTAAATAACGATATAAATATACGATCTTTCTCTCTTCCTTCAGTTTTTTCTTTTCTAATTTTTATTTAGCGGCTACATACCTGATAGAAAGCCATTGTTTTATGTGTCAAACAGTATAAATTTCCGCATTTATGCCGTTAAAATCAAACTCATTTGTTGAGAGATGTTCTTTTGTTAAATATGTGAATGCATATACAATGAGCAATGAAATAGTGTCAAATTTGAATTTATTTTGTCACATTCATGTAAATTGCCAGCATCAATGGTATCAAGTATTATAGACGATGAGTGTACACTGTAGATACAAATTCAAACTGCTGGAGTATATTTCCGTCAATCATTGTCTATAAAGGTGATGTCCGTTTCTGATCCCAATCATTATTAATATTTAAGGTATCCCACTCGGCCTGAAACACAGCCCATCCATCGTAGTACACGACCTCGAGGATTCAGACGGGTCTGACGGCTCGGACGGCTCCGATCATATTGGTCAATCATCGTCGTCCTCGTCTTCGTCGTCGTCATCAAGCGAATCAGACGAACATGAAAGAGACAACGTTAAAAATGATGGACGAGGAAACGATGATAGGAAGCAACAACAGGTATACAATAACAGAAACGATATCGACAGCAGTGAAGAGGACGGACGAGACGATGATAGCCTAGATAGAAACGGCAACGAGGAAAAGAGTCAGGAAACTACAATAGAGAAAGATGGAATCGACAAAGCCAAAAGTCAAACTGAAAATAAACTTCAGCAGATTTATAATAATAAAAACCAATTAGAAAGCGAGGAGATAGATGACGAAAATGGAAATAAAATCAAGGAAGCAAAAGTAGACGACATGGTTGATGTCCCCGGCGCTTCTAAATCAGGGCCTATTATTTCCCAACAAAGTGACGGTGCTGGAGCGAGCGAAGGTGTTGCTCTCCCTAATGCTAACGACGGGACCACTTCTATCCTATCCGGAAAGGCAGACGATAATAAGGACAGTGATGAAAGCCGACCCAGAGGAGAAGATGATAGCAATGAAAGTAGGCCCCGAGGAGAGGATGACGGTCGTCCAAGAGGTGAAAATACAGCAGGAGGCAAGAAAAAGTGGCCGAAACTGGTACCGGACATGTTTAAAAGTCTGGTACCGGAAGCAGTAAGTAGCATAAATTTCAACATTGAAATTGATTGTCGATATGTTTTGTTTTAAACAGCTCTATAGGGAATTCGTTTCGATTCAATCATTATTTTCTTAATTTATATATATATTGCATCACTTTTTTTTTTATAGTTTTATAGATTTATTTATTCTTATTATCACTGATATTTTTTACAGAAGAAAAATAGCACTAAACACACTATCAATGCTGACAGCAAGAAAAACAACACAAAGGGACAGGAAACTGTCAGTAAAAGTAACCATGGTTGGCCGTACTTTGTACCGGAAGTGTTCAAACCGCTCATACCGGACACGGTAGGTAACTCTGTCATAATAAGCGCAGAGCTATATTTATGATGATGTTGGGATCAGTAGTGTATTCTACTGAGATACTTTTTGTTGGAAATAACATTTATAGTTATAGTCATACTTCTTATGAGAACAGGTTGGTTGCATTCTTTTAATATCTTAGATAATTTTTCAAATTATTTGTAATTTATATTCCTATTTTTTGTATTGTTTTGGTTGGTCGTTGAACACACCAACGACAAAAATGATGAAATGTTAAGTGTATTTTGACAGGAGAGGAACGGGACACAGGCAGAGGACAACTCGGACACGTACAAACAGAACAACAACATGTCTTATACGGAGACGTACGTCATGGACCAGTACATGGAAAATCTGGTAACTGTTCAGTTATCTTTTTAGTAAATAGTAAAATACCTAATGTCAATAACTGCAACAGGGAAAGGCTGACAGCTGTTATGTTATTTACATTTTGTAAACAATTCAAAATTACATATCAATTATTTTAATAGGGAAAACCTGAAAATCTTTACTCTCATTTATTACAAAACAACCATTTCATATCAGTTATCGTGACAACGATGATGTCATCATTAGGCTCAGTTTAAGGAACTGCATTAATCTTAGTTCTTAAACGATATTTTTTTTTCAAAACCAGTACAAATGCGATATTATGTCAACCTGTTTACATCTTTTCTGCAGTTAGAAAAAAAAATTATCGACTAACATCGTTTCCAATTGTGTCCTCACTACTTTTTATATATCCAACGTTTTAAGATAAGTGTAGGGATTGAATTTTGTTTTGTGTTTGTCCAGCCGTACGCCCAGTCGATGCTGACGTTCGGTAAGGCTGGGGAACATGAAGTAGAACACACGGACGCCTCAGGGGGTGACAAGACTCAAAGCGCTGACTTCAACATCCCACCAGACGAAATAACCATGCAGAATGGCGGCGCCGGATACTCAAGTGCGAACGAATCAAGCGGCGTAGGAAACAACAACAAAAGTCCCTTCAAAGTAAACTACAGTGGTATGTCCGCGACCGGAAGTCATGGAGTCGATGACAAAAATAAATCCCCGGGTAAAATGAAACCTCCAGGGAAGGAGGGCGGAGAGGCTGCTGGCGAATCACATCAACAGGTACCTGATAACAAACCAGGAAAAGTAAAGGGCACACAGGACGGGAAAAACAAAGCTACAGAGACTCAGTCGAGTGGAGGAGGAACTGTACCTAAAGGTCAAGGTAGTCCCAAGGGGGACCAGTATAATAGGCCGCCGGGTAACGTACCAAGTGTGCCCGACTAGTAACTGAGGACACAAGTTTGACAGGTCACCTGATACGTCTAATGACATCAGCTTAACATGTCACCTGATAACTACGAAATGTCCACGAAAGGTGGGTTAGTAATTTGAAAAATCGCAAATTACCCGGGTTTTTTTGTATTGTAACCTTCATTGTGTTATATTTACATTTTGTTTTCATTTTTTCTGCGTGTTTTGGCAATAAAGATTTTCGATTATTCAGGTTTTGATATTTTAGTTTGAAATAACATAATAGTCTATATCTACTATCGTGTTATAGCATTGCTCTATGGTATAACTTCACTAACAAGACACTACAGTACTGTATACATTTTTAAGATACACGTGAAAGAGTATGATCCCAATATTTACCAATAGAAATGAGGGTTGCTCTCAGAGGTCAGACATCTAAACTAATTAGTTACACTTCTAGACAGGGTATGTAGCATTGCCACATCTCGAGGTAGTTGTTGACCACTTAACAGACCTTCCAAACACAAGATGTATTCTTAGATATAAATATCACTCAGAACTTTGTGTAAATCACTTCAGCTAATTACCATTTTATTCCACGTATGCAGGACACAGTTATAGAGGAAGATTGATAACGGGTCACGTGGTGGCATTAGTCACTTGGAACAGGTGCAATGTAGCACAAGTCACGTGATTAGACGGGTAATCGAAGGATGTGTCGTGTTTGTATCTACAAAAGGATGCAATTGATTATGTTGAATAAAAAGTTATCTCTGCAACAGGTGTAGGCTATCCTCTATCATCACGGGGGCCAACGTGCCCGGGGGAGAATTGAATCGCCAGTATTACACTGACAAGTATAAAGAGTAGTGGACAGCGAACAGAGAGCCACGTATTCCGTTTGACAACCACAAAATCCAAGATACATTTTGACATGTTTGTTACATTCGATTTCACTTTAGTAAGTAATCTCCAGCTACATTCTGGATTGTCTAACTCCGTCTATTCACCTTCTCTATATCTCTCCGGACTGTCTACCTCCGTCTCTTCACCTTCTCTATATCTCTCCGGACTTTTTACCTCCGTCTTTTCACCTTCTCTATATCTCTCCGGACTGTCTACCTCCGTCTCTTCACCTTCTTTATATCTCTCCGGACTGTTTACCTCCGTCTCTTCACCTTCTCTATATCTCTCCGGACTGTCTACCTCCCTCTCTTTCCCTTCTCTATATCTCATTCTGTCTCTGTCTCCATCTATCAACGAGTACATGAGTGGGAATGCAGGTGTTATAATATTATTATATAGTTTTCAATTTAGGATAGTAATGCTAAAGAGGTTATTTGGGTCGTCGAGTGGCACAATGGATAGCGCACTTGCTTTTCACCAAGGCGACTAGGGTTCGACCCCTCTAGCGGACGTAAAAAGGGATGCCCGATCGTGTGGCTTTTCTCCGGGTTAGACCTACCACATTAAGACTCAGTGTCCGCTAACACTCGGGCCAACAACACTGAATAATATCTACAAGCTGAAGTAACTTGTTTCATAATTTCAAAATAAGTAAAGTTTACACGTTTTAAGTTGTCATTGAAAGACACAATCACATATCGTTAAATTACAATCTGTAATGCCAGACTTACGAAATAGACGTTTGATGTGTTGCGCCTAATACATCGTATACACATTTTCATGTTACGGATGGAATTTTTAGATTAAAAACGTTTTTAGCAAGTAGCATTATAGCCAAATCAAATAATCAAATGATGTCATGCATCCAAACTTTTTAAAGATAAGCACATTTTTTACATACATTTTCTTCCGAAACATGAATAAATATTTAGCTACGGTACTGATATTTTACAGAATATGAAACACATACACACAGATTGTGGCCCGTGAATGATACACAGATTGCATAATATCAATTATCAACAAAAGACGGCATTGATCGCTTCCTCTTTGTATATATTCCTTAACTCCCCGTCTTATCCCCACACACCTACACGTCCTCGTTAAAACATGATTCTCGGACACAACGCCGTCATCCTTATACTCGCTCTCTGTGTAATACTACACACTACTACCGGCAAATCTATCGTCGTCAGACGAAGTGCTGATGGCAGCGACAGCGACAACGATAATGACACCGACAATGGCATTGACAACGAGAACGACACCGGCGTTGACGGTGATGACGACGATGACGACGACGACAATGGAATCAAGGATACAACTAAGGGTAGATATGTTCACGAAAAGTAGTCAATATCCAGTTTCGTCACTCATCTTCCAAATATGCTCTTTTCTTGACAAAAACGGTTTTCTTAGTAATATCTGTACCTATAGTCCAATATTTAGCCTATGTATTTGTTATTACATTTTCATACATTGATTGGCGATGTGGTATTGTATCCTCGTATGTTGACGCTGTGGTATTGTATCCTCGTATGTTGACATTGTGGTATTGTATCCTCGTATGTTGACGTCGTGGTATTGTATCCTCGTATGTTGACGTTGTGGTATTGTATCCTCGTATATTGACACTGTGGTATTGTATCCTCGTGTGTTGACGTTGTGGTATTGTATTGTCTTATGTTAACGCTGTGGTATTGTATCCTCGTATGTTGACGTTGTGGTATTGTATCCTCGTATGTTGACTTTGTGTTATTGTATTCTCGTACGTTGACTCTGTGTTATTGTATCCTCGTATGTTGACGTTGTGGTATTGTATCCTCGTATGTTAACGCTGTGGTATTGTATCCTCGTAGGTTGACGCTTTGGTATTGTATCCTCGTGAGTTGACTCTGTGGTATTGTATCCTCGTATGTTGACTCTGTGGTATTGTATTCTCGTACGTTGACTTTGTGTTATTGTATCCTCGTATGTTGACTCTGTGGTATTGTATCCTCGTATGTTGACGTTGTGGTGTTGTATTCTCGTTTGTTGACGTTGTGGTATTGTATTCTCGTATGTTGACTCTGTGGTTTTGTATCCTCGTATGTTGACGTTGTGGTATTGTATCCTCGTATGATGACGTTGTGGTATTGTATCCTCTTATGTTGACTTTGTGTTATTGTATTCTCGTACGGTGACTTTGTGTTATTGGATCCTCGTATGTTGACTCTGTGGTATTGTATCCTTGTATGTTGACGTTGTGGTGTTGTATTCTCGTTTGTTGACGTTGTTGTATTGTATTCTCGTATGTTGACTCTGTGGTTTTTTATCCTCGTATGTTGACGTTGTGGTATTGTATCCTCGTAGGTTGACTCTGTGGTATTGTATCCTCGTATGTTGACACTGTGGTTTTGTATCCTCGTATGTTGACGTTGTGGTATTGTATCCTCGTATGTTGACGTTGTGGTATTGTATCCTCTTATGTTGACTTTGTGTTATTGTATTCTCGTACGTTGACGTTGTGGTATTGTATCTTCGTGTGTTGACTCGGTTGTATTGTATCCTCGTACGTTGACGTTGTGGAATTGTATCTTCGTATGTTGACGTTTTGGTATTGTATCCTCGTAGGTTGACTCTGTGGTATTGTATGCTCGTATGTTGACTCTGTGGTATTGTATCCTCGTAGGTTGACGCTTTGGTGTGGTATTGTATCTTCGTGTGTTGACTCGGTTGTATTGTAGCCTCGTACGTTGACGTTGTGGTATTGTATCTTCGTGTGTTGACTCGGTTGTATTGTATCCTCTTATGTTGACTTTGTGTTATTGTATTCTCGTGCGTTGACGTTGTGGTATTGTATCTTCGTGTGTTGACTCGGTTGTATTGTATCCTCGTACGTTGACGTTGCGGTATTGTATCTTCGTATGTTGACGTTTTGGTATTGTATCCTCGTATGTTGACGTTGTGGTATTGTATCTTCGTGTGTTGACTCGGTTGTATTGTAGCCTCGTACGTTGACGTTGTGGTATTGTATCTTCGTATGTTGACGTTTTGGTATTGTATCCTCGTATGTTGACGTTGTGGTATTGTATCCTCGTATATTGACACTGTGGTATTGTATCCTCGTATGTTGACGTTGTGGTATTGTATCCTCGTATGTCGACTATGTGGTATTGTATCCTCGTATGTTGACGCTGTGGTATTGTATCCTCGTATGTTGACACTGTGGTTTTGTATCCTCGTATGTTGATGTTGTGGTATTGTATCCTCGTATGTTGACGTTGTGGTATTGTATCCTCTTATGCTGACTTTGTGTTATTGTATTCTCGTACGTTGACGTTGTGGTATTGTATCCTCGTATGTTGACGTTGTGGTATTGTATCCTCTTATGTTGACTTTGTGTAATTGTATTCTCGTACGTTGACGTTGTGGTATTGTATCCTCGTGTGTTGACTCGGTTGTATTGTATCCTCGTACGTTGACGTTGTGGTATTGTATCTTCGTATGTTGACGTTTTGGTATTGTATCCTCGTATGTTGACTTTGTGGTATTCTATCCTCGTATGTTGACGTTTTGGTATTGTATCCTCGTA